ATATAACTTTCACTCTTCGACGCAGATCCTGTCCGCCAATCCTTTTTAATTCAATTCCTCTTTCCTACTCAGACACAGTCCGATACCTTGGCTTCCTTTTGGACAAAAGACTGACTTGGAACCCACATACCAGACTTAAAAGACAAGAGCTTAACCGACGATTTGGTCAGCTATATAGACTACTAAACAGAACATCTCATCTCTCAACAGAAAACAAATTATTAATCTACAAGACCATACTGAAACCTATCTGGACCTACGGACTTGAACTGTGGGGGACAACTAAATCATCGAATATCAAACGCATCCAATCCTTCCAGTCCAAAGTCCTTCGAACAATAGTCAATGCTCCATATTATGTCACGAACAAGACCCTACACCATGACCTTAACATCCCATATGTCCATGACATCATCCCATCCAGATTCTCCAACTTTCACCAGAACCTCATTCATCATCCCAATCCTCTAGCGCAATCCCTATCCAGCTCCGAACATCCATACCATCCCCCTCGAAGGTTGAAACGGCAGTGGCCTCGAGATCTTTTGTAAATATGCCTTTGGAGTTCTGGCTATGGCCAGCTTCTCCACTCATGTCCTGAGCGTCTGTGGCTCTAGTGCCCTCTTTCAGTCTCCATTGGCTTCTAATACTAGTGATGCGGCTGGAAAAGTGGCGCTGGGATCTTCCGGAGTCTTGCTTTGCCTTCCACGTGTGGGGGAAAAAGCCTGGCTCGGAGATTCTTGGGCGAATGTATATATTGTATATAGGTATGATTGTGTTTAGAAGTTTTTATTTTATTTTATTTGTTTATTTTTATTTAACTTCTTCACCAGTATTATTTATTTACTTCTTATATTTATATTTATTTCTTTATTATTTGTATATATTGTATGAATGAGAACTTTTAGCCCTAATGCTTATAGCCCTCCAGCAGTGGCTGATTGTATTATTATTCAATAAACAGATTAAAAAAAAAAAAATATGACAAATAACTCTCATGAGTTTCAATAAGGCAACATTCTAAATTTTGGCCAACATTCTAATTTTAAGCAGTGGACTGTATCTTAATGGATTGGTAGGTTATAATGATTGTGCAAAAAATAACTTACCGTCTTTATGCCAGCTTACATCTTTGGTTACCTGGATGGCCCTCCGTGCATCTGCCGTGACTGCTGATGAAGAAGTCGGGCGAGCCAACCAGGCGCTCCCAAGGCTTTAGGGTTATCTTTTCATTCTTTGGCACAACCATATCTCCCACTGTGAAATATCTCATTTCACAAAAAAAAAACCAAACGCAGAGATTGGTGATTACCGGGCAAGGCACAAACGAGAGGAAAATTGCTTGGTTTACTAAAAAGAAAGAGAGAGATTAGGCTAATAATTTACAATTAACTTAAAATAAAATGATTCCTCATTAAATTAAAAAAATATATATACATATCAATAAAGGGTTTCTCTAGAAGAGAGAGGCACTAACTTGCACCAAAGTGGCTGTAGCAGTCCTCAATTTTACAACACTAACTACACTGTCGGGCCTTGGAAGTGTCTCTATTATCCTGGCAAGCCGCCGCTCCTGCTGTGGGACATCTTTTTCATGCAGAATTACAAGGGTTCCCTCATTTAAATTTTTCCTATTAGTATACCACTTGCTGCGAGGCACCAGATTATGAAGGTATTCATTATACCATCTCTTCCAAAAATTACGAATAGCCTTGCAAATCATCTTCCAACGGCTTGTCAAAGGAAACACAGGTGCGTCTTCTTGTTCTGGTCTGGCTAGGAGGGGTTGACCTATAAAAAAGTGTCCTGGGGTAAGGTAATCCAGGTTATCCGATGGCTGACTGCTAATGTTGCAGACAGGACGGGAATTGAGAACGGTTTCAACTCGTACATGATTCAACATTTAACCCAGTCAAATTAGCACAAAAAAGGAGTCGAGCTTGCAAAAGATCGGGTAATTCAAATTTCTTTTTTATATTGTAAGGTATGCTGTTGCTAAAAAAAATCCATGTTATCGCCCTTAAAAGCCTTGTGGGTTTGCTACAGTGCTCCAAAACCATTGAAATTTCGAACTTTTTTTGGTTTATGCTACATATCTACTTTATGAAGCGACATAGATAAAAATTGGTCAAGTTCAATCTTAAACAGCTTAAAATTATCTAACATTTTGTACATACTATTTTTTTTCTAAACCCAACAGGAACTGAACTATCGAGCATTAAAAATGAGTAAAATTGAAAAAAATTGATAATTAAATATCAATATAATCATCATAGCACTATAACTATGCCATTTATGACCAATGATGTAGCAATGCCAGTGTCGATTTTTCGATTAAGTGTATTTATAAGTTAATATTTTAAAAAGTAATCAGTGTTTTAGCAATAAAAATGTACCCTCAAGATGTTTTATTATTCTCTTACTATCCATCTTTAATAAAGGGAACATTAGCCAAATGCTGAATCTCAGTCACCGAAAAACTAACTCAAGTGTAATACATCAATCGGCCAGGTTTGGACGCCTAATATAAAAATATGTTCATTTCGGGTAATTTTTCGTTATTTTTGGCCGTTTATTTAAAAACTACGCTTGATTTTCAACTTTATTTTGAACGAATTAAAAAACTTGAGTGGTGTTTGTTATTACCAAGGTCAATTATTTTTTAATATTTTTCCATGTTTTATTATTCTATAACTACCTAGCTTAGGCCAATTATGGTGAAATTAAGCCAAATACTGAATCTCAGTGACCGAAAAACTAACTCCAGTCAAAGGAGTCAATCTGCTATGTTTGAACGCCTTTTTGGGACAGTATGCCCTCTTTTTATTTGTCGGGACAATGACATTTGATAAAATTTAATCTGCGCCAGCTACCAGTGGCAATCATCCCATGATTTTAAACCAAACAACATCCTGGTTATATTGACTAAATCACTTTCCTTCATTCTTCCTGTCCTTTATCATATTTATAACTTTTCGTTGCCAAGTTGCACTTTTCTTAACGCCTGGAAAAATGTACTTATTAATCCGCTGAATATAACCTCCAATCCTGCAACCCCTAATGATTTCCGTCCAGTTTTCCTATTATCTAATCTTCTGAACTACCACCAATCCGGTTTTAGACCTGACTACTCCATCATTCATTAAAATCTCTCAAGATCTCCACACATAGGCCAAAAGAAACTCACCAGCCCTACTCTCCTTGATTTTTCCAAAGCCTTTGACTCCGTTGATCCTTACCAAACTTTAAAATATATCCTTGTCTTCTAGTGTCCTTAAATGGTTCCAATCCTTCCTCACCGTTCGCTCCCAGTATGTTGTAGTCCCTAATAATCCCCCATCAGAGTCTCTATCCTTGTCCAGAGGCGTCCTCCTTATCTCCCACCCTTTTTTCCATCTATATCAATGACCTTCCATCCTCTATGTATGACTATGATCTTCTATCCTGCACTGTCAATACCACCTGTATGCCGTTGACGTCCAAATTTTCCTTTCCTTCGATCCGGCAGATTCCAATACAACAATCCCACAATTTTAAGAAGATATAGACAGAATCTGTGCTTGGGCAAACCGCAATAGGCTTAACCTGAACGCCGAGAAGACGAAAGCTATCCTTATCGGATCCCCCGCACTCATAAATGACAATCCTGTACCTCCCGATCTTCTCCTATACAACTCATCTTCTATTTCATTCCAAACTTTCGTTAAAATCGTTGGTATTTTTTATCAAACCTTCTCCTGAAAACCACACATCTCCCAAATTTCCCGTATTACTATTTCTGCCCTAAAACAGTTCAACCGTCAACGCTATCTCCTTCCATACCCGTCAACTCCTGGTTTCCTCTCTTGTATCCCCCACTTCGACTATGGTTGTATGGCATACGGAGGACTCTCGGAAGAACCCGAATCCAAACTTAAACGCCCAATGAATTGCCCGATACGTTTTGTTTTCGGGATCTCAAGAAATACGCAAATTACCGAGTATTAAGCCGAGTTGAAGAGGCTTTATCCATCCTACCACCGTCAGTACTTCCTTGCTACTTTTCTATACCAAGCCATTAGAAGTCAGCGACCCTCTTATATTCTTCAGAGCCTACAATTCAAATCCTCCATTTAATCCCGTCCCACCAGATCCCGTAGTTCTGACCTCTATCCTCACCGAACTGCTGCGTTTGACAAATCCTTTGTAATTCAACCGTCTCCTTCTGGAAGTCTATTCCTTCCGATATGCGACATGCACCATCAGTTTCCTCATTTAAATCTCTCCTTTGTAAGCACCCACTCCTTTCCCATTCCGACTGATCAGGAAATGTACATAAGAGAACTTCTTTCTAGTTGTTTACTTATGTTATTTTATATTCCTTTGTTTATTCTCTCTCTCTATATATTTTTTTTTTTTTCGGTTGGCGCTACAGACCATAAAGATCTTTGACCGCGAGTGTGGTCGCCTAGACCACATCCCGATTCTCGATTTAAAGTACGGGGTAGGGTCATTAATCCTACGCCCGGTCGTTGTTAGTTGCCTCCAGTAGTCTGACGGGTCCCACATACCGGGGGGATCTCGGGCAGCGTGGCTTTCCTTGGTGGACGGTCACCCATCCAATTGCTAGCCACGCTCGACGTTGCTTAAATTTGATTACCTATTACAAGCGCCTTAGCCCGAAAGGCTACCCGAGCCCCTATATAATATATATATATATATATATATATATATATATATATATATATCGTTTTGTTCTTTTTTCTTCCTGTATTTGTATTTTTAATTATATATTATTTTGTAAATATTTAATTTAAATTATGGCCACCTAGGCGTTTTCTCAGTATTTATACCTTGTTGTAAAGGGACAAAAGTCTCAGGATAATAAAAATATTTTCATTTCATTACATCAATACTACATGTATTGATTTTTGGGAGACTCATCTGAGGGTCTTGCATTTGACGTTATCTTTCTTTGGCATTATATAATTCGTTGTTTACTACCTTTGTTTCTTTTTCAGATAATTACTGTGGATGCTCGAAACCATGGTGAAAGCCCACACACTGATGAGTTTTCTTACTTTCACTTGGCACAAGATATGCAATTTTTAATAAGCTCATTAAGCTTACCAAAAGTACATTTAATGGGTCATAGTATGGGTGGAAGAGCTTCAATGTTGTTCTCACTGCTATACGTAAGCAATAAAAATACTTATAATCTTTCGTTTAAAAAAGTCTTCTCAAGTCCCTTATTACTGTAATAGATCTAAGGATGAATGAGACGACGTTTAATTTCCAATTTCAGGTAAAAATCCTCAATAAGTATTTTGTATATTTCTGTTTTTATTTGTGGAATAAAAGGTTTGTCAGTAAGTTCTATTACTTTGTGTATTGGATTTTTGGCTGTATTAATTATTTGATATTTGGGATGGTTTGAACTAAACTTAAGGATTCTATTACTGGTTTTCTCTTTTTTGTCCATTTGGTAAGTATCTGTCCTTGGTCCAAAATTATGTCTATGTCCAAAAATCTGAGTCTGTCGTTTGTGGCTTTTTCTATTGTAAATCTGATTCTTTTATTATATTGGTTGAAGTTTTCCAGTATTCTATTTACCGAATCTTTTTTTATTATAAGTAGCAAGTCATCATTGTATTTTTTGATTAACAATGGTTTTTGTTCTAAGTTAGTTAAAAATATGCCACTTAAATTCGGTGACAGAGTACTTCCCATCCCGACTCCCCAAAATTGTTTATCAAATTCATTATTATATATGAAATAGTTATTTCTTGTACATACCTTTATCCCTTCGATAAATATATTTTTTTATCTTTACTTTTGGTTTCAGTTTTTACGCTATCCCAATTGTCATCTATAATATTTTGTATGGGATTAAAAGAAATAATTACAAATATCCAATATAATATAAAAAACGTATAAATTATAAGTTTGGACGCTGAATCACTTTACTAACATCCCATTAGATGAATGCATACATACCTGAACTCACAAAGTGTTTAAAAATTATGACATAACAGAAATCAAACTTAAGCAAAATAATAATAAAAAACTGAGCAGGCACATCACCAGTACAAAAGATAAAATAGACTTAATAAATAAGAAAAATGTAATTTAAAATTAAATTGTCAAAACTGCCCCAAAATCTACATTGGAGAAACATCCAAACACTTAGGGACCAGAATTTCACAACACATTACTAACTGTAAAAATGCAAAAAAAAAATAAACACAACAGCTTTAGCACATCACAGCATAAAATTCAACTTCGATAAACCACAGATATTAGGCACAGAACCAAAAAACAATAGAACAACAGTGTTTAGGCAACTTTTACAATTATGGCAAAATAACTCTCATGAGACTTAATAAGGCAACATTCTAAATTGTATGGTAACATTCTAGTTTTTAAGCAGTGGACTGTATCTTATGGGATTGGTAGGTTAATGATAGTGCAAAAAAAATCGCTTACCGTCTATTTGCCAGCCTACATCTTTTTTACCTTGGAGGGCTCTCCACCGTCGGTCCTTGCTGGTCGAAAGCTTTTCAGGTAGTGGCCTCGAGGCTTCGTGTCTCTCTCAAAGCTTACGTCTTATCTTTATCTTTTAGATCTGCCCCCACCACTCGCCGTAACGCGGGACATGTAAACGAAAACCCCTCTTTAGCACAACAATATCTCCCACCTTGAAATATCTCATTTCACAAAAAAAAAATAAAAGAAAAACAAACTCAGAGATTGGTGATTACCGGGCAAGGCACAAACTCGAGGAAAATTGCTTGTTTACAATAAAGAGAGAAATCAGGCTAATAATTTACAATTAACGTAAAATAAAATGATCCCTTATTAAATTTAAACAAAAAAAAAAATATACATATCAATAAAATGTTTCTCCAGAAGAGAATGGCACTAACTTGTGCACCGGTCGCACCAAAGTGGCTGCAGCAGTCCTCAATTTTACAACCCTAACTACACTCTCGGGCCCTGGAAGTGTCTCTATCATCCTGGCAAGCCGCCACTCCATCCAGTGGAACATCTTTTTCATGCAGAATTACAAGGGTTCCCTCCTTTAAATTTTCCCTACCAGTATACCACTTATTGCGAGGCACCAGATGATGAAGGTATTCATTATACCACCTCTTCCAAAAATTACGAAGAGTCTTTGAAATCATCTCCCAACGACTTGTCAAAGGAAACACAGGTGCCTCTTCTTGTTCTGGTCTGGCTCGGAGGGGTTGACCTATAAGAAAGTGTCCTGGAGTAATGTAATCCAGATTATCCGATGGCTGACTGCTAATGTTACAGATAGGACAGAATTGAGAACGGCTTCAACTCGTACAAGAAGAATATAAAATTCATCATAAGCTAACGCATGATCCTGGAAAACGGCAAGATGGTGTCTCCTAGCAGATTTAATAGCTGCCTCCCAAATACCACCGAAATGAGGAGATGCTGGAGGAGTAAAGGTCCACTTTATACCCTACCCATCTTACCCAAATAGTCAGAAATGGGTTCGCTCTGGCCCCCAACAAATTGATAAAGCTCCTTCAACTTCTTGCGTGCTCCAACGAAATTTGTCTCGCAGTCACTATAAAAATGGGAAGGCAAACCACGTCTGGCAATGAATCTATCTAATATGGCAATAAATGAAGGAGTGGGTAGGTCCGTCACAAGTTCTAGATGTATGGCCTTGGTGGACATGCACACAAAGAGAGCTAACCAACATTTCGACTTAAGAATATTACGCTTACTGTAAATCTTCATAATGAAGGAGCCTCCATAGTCTGTTCCAACTTCCTGAAAGGAACGACCTTCGGTCACCCTGAAAGACGGTAAGTCACTCATTTTTGGAGCCTGTGGTTCCACATTATTTTTGTGGCTCGTAACACATTTATAAATACGGCTTCTAAAGAGTCTTCTTAGAGAAGGGATCCAAAATTGGCGATGAATGAGAGACTGGACCAACAGGGGGCCACCATTCAAGGAATACCTGTGCTAATGATCACACAAAAGGGCTGCTAAATGAGGGTCTTTAGATATCAGCAGCGGGTGCTTAGTTTTCTCTTCGATTGTGGAATACTTCAATCTACCTCCCACCCTGAGAGCTCCTTATCCAATAATGGCGTGAGCCTGTTTAAGGAACCCTTATATGGTTTGCCACCTTCAAGACAATCAATTAATTCATAGAAGGATTTCCTCTGAATGAGTCTGACATAAATCATCAAGGAATCCCTAAGATGGTCCGCAGTCAATGTTCCAGCAGCAAAAGCTCTTTGCAACTTTAAAAGGCTCGATCAACAAATCTTTAGATTTTTCAGCCGCTAAAAGAGACATTGTTTTTACCTCAGGCAGAACGGATGTAGGTTCAATGTGGTAAATAGGCCAGTCAGAAGGAGGTAACGAAATAAATGCCGTGCGTTTCCAATAAAGATCATGTGAAAGTGTCTGGTGTGGTGTGAGGCCTCTCGATAAACAATCTGCAGGATTCTGTTTCGTAGGAATATAATGCCAACAATTAGGTTCTGTAACTTCCAAAATATGCACCACGCGATTGGCAACATAAATTTTAAGTTCATGTGGCAGTGGCTGTAACCAATAGAGTACGTTACGAGAATCCGAAAAACAATAAACTTCTTCAATTTTTAAATGACCTTTAAGTTTACCAATTCACGTAAGAAGTCTGGAGGCAAGAAGATCAGCATTGAATTCCAAACGAGGCACTGATTGAACTTTAAGTGGTGCCACCTTACTTTTTGCCGTTAACAAATGAATTTTGGTAGCTTCTCCAGGGCAATCAGCGCTCAGGTAGATCACACACCCGTAACCCCTCTCGGAAGCGTCTGAAAAGGTGATTAGTTGCATGGATGATGCATTCTGGCTGACAGTACAACGAGGCAGGCAAACATGTTTCAAGCTCGGAAGCTCGTGAAGGAAAATGTTCCACAGTAAAGACACCCTAGAAGGCAACTCATCATCCCAATCAACCTTAAGAAGCCACAAACGATGTAATAGGCATTTAACAGAAAAATGACGGGACTGATATATCCATTTATATCGAAAATCTTGGCAATGAAGCATAGAATACATCGCTTTGTAAAAACAGGATCACGTTCCTATATTGAATACCTGAAATGATTGAGTTTAGGATCCCAGAACAAAACTAAAACCTTAACAGTCGAGGAATCTCCATCCAGGCACAACGGTATTTCTTGACTACCCTCGGGTATAACAGAAAGTACTCTATCGGAATTGCTGGAGAATTTTCTGAGCTCAAACCCATTTCCTCCAAATAAGGGCATCAACTCATTGTACAGATCCAGAGTCTCATTGCTATTGCGAGCACTAGTGATTACGTTATCTACATAACTGTTATTTTCTATTGAAAAGTTTACTAAAATGAAATTACAAGATTTAAATTAAATTGAAAGGTTACTTGATGAATTTTTGGAATAAACTGCCAATAGATACCTAATTATTTAAATATAATATCATATCTAGAGTTATTAAACTGCAGCAAAAGTATTTAAGGTTATAAACATATCCATGAAATATTTTCATATTTCACTTCTTCTTTCACACAACTACAATTAAATAGTATTTTAAACAACGGCATTGGCTTGATTCGGTGGATTTAAAATAGTTATTTTCCAAAATTGAAAAAAATTAAAATTTTACATTGAGTAAGTAAATTTCATTTAATTTCCTTGGAAACATGTGATTTTCGTTAAACAATATTAGTTTTCATGAATTATTATTTATACTTTTTTTGTCACTCTCCATTAACTTCAAGGACTTTCTATAGAAGTTTTAGGAAAAACAATGTGTAATATATTAAATATTGTTTTTCCTAAAATTCCCTACTTTCCAACGATATATTATACGTACACATTTTGTACTTCCAGAGTTTCATTTTTGACCTAAATAAACATTTTCCGTTTTTTCTCCAGTGTCCAATTATCATATTCTTTCATGTTTTATATTTAGCCATTTTTTATAGTTACTGTCAATGAGAGAGAGCTAAATTTTTGAAAATAAACTAAATTTAAGGTACTTTAGAGGAACATGCATATGGACATTGGGCATTTAAGCCCTGTAAAGTGACATACATTTGGATAACGCCTAGCTGATATCAAAAACAGCTTAATAATACACTGATATAACGAGTTTAATTAAAATCGTTAGCCCGTTTTCGAGAAAATCGTAAATATGTGTTCTATCGATTGTATAAAGTGCCATTTCCGGTTTTCCGATTTCAACGAAAACGTTGCTGTTTAATAATTTGTCACTGTTTTTAACCCGAATTGTTTCAAAACATTCGCGGGATCTCACTGAATAATTTTAGCCATCAAACTTTTTAGCATCGGTCCTGACGATCACGCAAAAAATCGTTCTTAACATACCACTAGCGGATCCAGGATTTGATTTTGGGGGGGACTTCAGCCCGAAAGCTTTTTTTTTTCATAAAAATGACGATAATTACTTTGGAAAAAAAGAAAGAAACTAACTATCTATATGAAATGGTGTTTAAGTTATTCCTTAAGTCCTTTTATATGTAATTACACGAACAATAAGACTTTAAGAGATAATTTTTTTCCATAAAACATGGTTATATTTTGCCATTTTGGGGGGGGCTTCAGCCCAAAAGCCCCCCCCCCCGTAGATCCGCCCGTGTAACATACCAATCGATCTAAAACATTACCTTCCTCGTGTAAACATAGAAAGATATTGCTGACTTAAAAAATTTTCTCAGAAGTCAACTACACACAAAAAAAAAAAAGTAGACTTTCATTAAATTACTAACTAACTAAAGGAACCATACATTTAATGTTAGGTATAAAACAAAACTATTATTACTTTGACTATAGCCATACAAGTTACATGTATCTCGATAGGCAGGAGTACATTACAGGACAAATATATTATCTACTCCATTATCGAGATGATATCGGATGGTATTCTGAACCAATATTTCATCCGACTGTCATATCATCTAAATATTGATGTTATACTGCATTCTCAGATAAGTTGGTTGTACAGGATGTTTCAGGTTTAAGTGGCCAAACTGCAAAGATGAACTAAGGACCACAAAACAAGAAAAAAATTCCCTCTGTAGGTATGGCCGCACACGCTTTGTTTAAGAGATATTCACACCTAACGACTTTCGTTGTTACGAATTATTTACATTATATGAATTGGCACAACCAAACAGTAAATTATAAAACAGACACCAAACATTTGGGGACGCATTATGCTGATATATTAAACAAAATTAAAATTTAGTAAAAATGAAATTGCAGCTACATAAAAAATAAACATTTAACAACAATAGTAAAAAATAAATAGTCATATCCAAAGGTCAATTGTATTCACCGTGGCAGACACCCAATAATTTTTCTAAAGGCATGATGATGCTTTGGATATTATATACTAAAATTTATTATAACATGAATTTAGAACCTGACTATGGAGCACATTAGGCTTATGGTAATTACAAATTTAATGTAACAACTCAATTCTGAAAGTATTGCAACATGTATTATATTTAACTCATTTTTAGCCATGAATCAACAAAGATACATGGGATTGTAGTTCTGTCAAAACCTGGGCTGATAGTAACTCGAACACGCTAGTATATATAAATAAATGATAAATAAAAAGTAATGGTAGTCACCCTAAATTCAACGTTCCCGCGTGTTAAATCCTAGATAACATCTGAGGTGATAGGTTGGGGCAAGGTCTGAAAACTGTTTTTAGAAATTCAAACCTGTATTAAAAATAAGGTATACCTGTTTTTTCGGGCGATTGCGAAATGGACTAACATTGCCTGCAATTGTTTGAAACGTCGTAACCACTATATTTATTTATAAAAAATCGATATTTCAGTTGTCCGATTGTCAGGTTTCACTATAAGTACCTAATTCTGCCCAGTACATACCATTAGGTTCGAAGAAAAAATTGTGGATCCTATTGGCACATTGAAAACAGGAAGATCAGCCGGAACAGATAGGATTGCCCCTGAAATGATCAAGTATATGAACCAAAAGGGGATAGAAGTATTCCAGCACATTCTAAACCTTGTATGGAAAACAAAGAATGTTCCAAAGGATTGGGAAGTATCTGTTATAGTCCCAATATTTAAGAAAGGGGATAACAGAGAATGTAAAAACCACTGGGGGATATCTCTTCTTAGTGTCCCGAGTAAAATATACTCAAAGATTTTAGAGAAACGCCTATGAAGAACAGTGGAATCCTCCCTGAGTGAAGAACAATATGGATTTAGGCCAAATAGAAGTACCGAGGATCTCATATTTACTTTAAGACAAATGTCTGAAAAATTAATAGAAAGGAACAAAGAGATATATGCCTGTTTTGTAGACCTCACCAAAGCATTTAACCGAGTGAAGAAGCAAGACATAGCAAAAGCTTTATCGAAACAGGCCTCTGTAAGGCAATTCTAAGTCTCTATAAGACCCAAAGAAATGTTGTGAGAACATGCAATAACATATCGAAAGAGTTCAAAACTAATCAAGGTATTAGGCAAGAGTGCAGTCTAAGTCCTCTGCTATTTACACTAGTGCTAGATAATGCAATAAAAATAGTAAAACAAAATATGAGGTCATATCAAGTGCGATACAGAAATCTACAGCCTGTATTTTTCTCTCTGTTCGCTTATGCAGATGATCTGGTGGTTTTCGGAAGCAATGGACGAAACCTGCAATTCAACCTCCGCACTCTTCAGGAAGAATTAAATAAGATAAACATGCAAATAAATGTGGAAAAAACCAAAACTATGAGGATTGGCAGGAAACAAGCAAGAGGAGACAGAATAGTGCACTTGAGTGGAGTTCCATTGGAAGAAGTGAAAACTTTTAAATACCTTGGTGCCCACATCAATGAACATGGATGGATCGACGGAGAAATAAAGGAAAGAGTGAAATCTGCAGGAAGGTGCTTCAACTCCATCAAGAAGGGATTCTTGAACAAGAGAGAAGTGAGTAAAGAGACCAAAACGACCTTGTACAAAAATACTTTCCTCCCGATAATGATCTACTCCAGCGAGTCATGGACCCTCACCACATAGCACATCAGTCAGATTCAGGCAATGGAGATGCGATTTTTGCGCAGGGTCGAAGGAAAAACAAAGAGAGATCGCATTAGAAACTCCATAATATGGAAAAATCTGAATGTAAGATCAGCCGAAACTGTGATAGAGGAAAATCGTTTGAGATGGTTTGGTCATGTCTCTCGAATGCCAGAGAATCGAATGGCCAGGATAGCATTGGAAAGTAAAGTGGCAAACCAGCTCTAAATATGAAAAAGATGGTTTCACTCCTTTTCCTATTATCTCACATCTGGGCATTAATAATGAGATAGTTAAGTTAAAAATTTCTGGGCTTGAAGGGGAAACGATATTAGTTTGTCACTAATGTAGCTAAACTTCCAAATTGTAACTTTTGTTTTTTCTCCCAAACCCTATGTCCAACCATTGTGTTAGATCGCACCAGTGTGTGCCGGGTGTTAGTTTATGGTTAGACTTATACATGAATCATGGGGCTCATTTTATCATACATCGTCTTTTAGCATACATTTGGGAATCTGCTCTCGAAGTGGACACATCAACACATCACATTTTATCAAGTTTGATGCATGCGTAATGTGTTCTTCCTCTACCGAACTACAACAGAACAGCTCATCAGGTAGGCAGTGACGCCTCCTGATCACTGCCATTGGACAGCTTTGATACATCTTTTCCTTTTTCTATTTCAATTTTTTTGGAGCTTGGCTCTGTCTCCTCTCTGCACCAGGCAGCTGGTTAACTTTGTTATATCCTCTCTTCATCTGATAAAGTTGCCTTGATTAGGATGGACTCTTCTACAAAGTCTTTCTTTTTACCTGGGAAGTGAAGGGACAGTTGACGTGTTGGTGGTACTTTCCTGTCTCCTCTGGGTTTATGGCCCTCTTCTCTTCATTATCTGAGTATCTATAGTATGTTCATATTTAATTCATGCGGTCTGGAAAGGCAAATGAACCAGGTTAATATGTTTAGTCGATAACAATGATGTTGCTCTTAAAGTTGGTAATTTGCTGAATAACTTTTTCCAAGTGTAATATTGAATATTGCTTTTAAACATAAGGATGAATTTTTAATTATAACTTAAGTAATTAACAAATGAAATTATAATGATAGTTACAAAATTAATTATTTGTAATCTTATTTAATGTAATACTAATAAAATTGTAATGTAAAGTTCAAAATAATTATCTCTCTTAAAAATAAAATTGTTTTTAAATGGTTTATTGTTCTTATCTGACTTTATAATTGTTGTTTCTGTAGCAATTCAGTAAATTTATTACTATTTTTTAGCCTGACTATGTAGAAAAACTGATAATTGTTGATATATCACCAATCTCCCGTAGTTTTAAGATGCAAGGTATGGCCCAATATTTTGAAGCTATGAGATCTGTTAATGTAGAAGGTGTTAAAACCTTATCTGAAGCCAGAAAAAAAGCTAATGGACAATTAAGTGTTGTGGTGCCTGTAAGTATTACTATATCGATAAATACATTCTAATAGGGTGTATAAAAAAATGACCGTGATTTAATCCAATATTAGGATTATTATTTCTTTAATATAAAATACAATTAATATTAATACTTAAAATATAGTCCATTGTTATCTACTGTCATTAGCCATCTGCTAGCCAGTTGCTCAATCCCACGCTGATACCATTCTTTGGGATGGCTGTCAAAGAACTCTTGGTCTGCAATTTCAACTTAGGAGTAAGTTCGTGAGGGACCAGTCTACTGCTCTTTTTCAACTTCCCCATGGAGAGTAGATGGCGACTAACAGTATCTTTCGACACACCACACTCCCTGGCAAGTTCGCGAGTACTTGTTGGTGGATTTAACTCAACAGCTTTCTGCGGAACTTCATCAATATCCATTAATGGTCGCCTGGAGCTCTTCTTCCTTTCCAACGTTGTATCTCCACTGCTGAATTTTTGAAACCAACGTCACTCACTGCGACACCTTTCCCTTCTTAAATAATAATTTCACGGTTTGCTTCAGCGGTTGTGAATTTTTTTCTTCCAGTAATGCCTTAAAATAACGAGAATTTTGTAGGACACTGTCATGTTTCTTCTTTGAAACAAATAACTAAACTGAGGCTTTTTTTGAAGAAGTCGAATGGGATTAAACAAGCTTAGAGAATGCTCTAAAGGGATTATCAAGTATTAAATAGGATTAAAATATGTACAGTCCTTTGAAATCATGAATTTGATAAAAACAGTCATATTTTTTATACATCCTATTACTTACATTTATTGCATGATTTGTTTTCTAAATTTTTTAATCCAAAGCTGTATGGTCTGATTAATCTTATCTTCTTTTTTTTTAATTGATGCCGAATTCGGTCTTTGAATACATTCACAGATGTGATCTATAATTTAATTTAAAAGTAAATATAAAAACATTTCCATCCTTTATTTCTCAATGTCAGGTCATTTAATACTTTCTAAAGTCTCTAGTTGTATTAATACACTATTTTATTTTAAAACTCATGAAAGATTATGTAAAATAGATAAATAGATAAAATTCTTTATTTTTTATAGAATAATTACAGAAGATCTGGCTGGCTATTTTATATTTAACACAGTACCAACTCATTACTAATATTATTCATTAAATATGTACCGCATATTAAAGTAATAAAGATGATAAAGTTAAAATTTATTAAATAACATTGATGATAATATAAACAATAACAATACCATACAATAATAATAGATAATAATATGTTTACATTACTGGCATAATAAATAATATAATCAGATTTCAAGATGTGCCCCAGGCACTTGAAATGCTTGCATGTTGCACCATTATTCAACATAAGCTTAACAAAACCAGCAAGAACTAACCTTCCTCAAATTCCCTTACCCTCATTTTCAGAGAATCTTCCTGAGTGAAACCACTTCAAGGAAACCTTCTTATCAATGGTCCACAATGAACTGACACTTACCAATGTTGAGAAGTTCCACTTCCTTCTAGGTGCAGTTCGAGGAGAAGTTGCCTCGCTTATTTCACGCTTCCCAGTCGAAGAAAGGACATATTCCCAAGCTTGGAAAAGCCTTCACGACAATTATTACAATATAAGAATCCTCGCATCTATATTCATCCATAAGATTCTTGAATGTGATTGCGAAATAGCAAAATTCGAGGAAGCGTGGTATAATCAATTTTTAACTGGGGCAGCAGATAGCATTGAGGGTTTCAAGTCGTTGTCTTTAAAAGAACCAGAAGAATTCATTTTGGCATCCCTAGCTTTGAGAGCCCTTGACCATCAAACGAGGAGAAATTTTGAACTTTCCTGAAGTTCAAATACATCGTACCCCAAAGCCAGAGATGTAATTGATTTTGTCCGTCAAAGGAAAAACGCAATAATCATGTCTAGAGATTTCGACATAACTTTAAACTTTAATTCGGCTGAGAAAACATGCTAGATTCCGTCAAAGCCTTAAGTCCTATAAGGAGTTCTCAAAGGCACCCAAGGTAAAATCTAGTGGTAGTGAGCGCCACAAGTGATAACACTAGAAAATTTAGCCAACACTTTTCACCATCTCGTAGAAGACTCACAATAGCTCAACCGAAACAGCATAACCATCAACAAAAGTCTTGCCCTTTCTGCCAAAAAGATCACATTCTGCCTTCATACTTCAAATTCAGCAATTCAGCGCTTCATAGGATAGTTTTTGTCAGTAGCCTCAAGTGCTGCCAAAACTGCTTGCGTGAAAGTCACCTAGTCGTGGAATGTAACTCAAAATGGAGCTGTAAATTTTGTATAAAGAAGCACCACAGCCTCATTAATTCAGAGGATTCCAACTATGACTTTCATCAGTAGACTCTGCCTCAAGAAAACCAAGAAACAACGTTTATTGGATTTGGTTCTGATCCTAGTCCCAATCCACACCTTAAAAATGTACTGCTGGGCACTGCTCAAATACTGGTGGTCGGGAATGATGGGAAGTTGTTTCTTGCTACAGCTGTATTTAACTCGGGTAACCAGTACACAACATTTCTAGCCAAAAGGATAGGTGAGAACCTAGAAACATTTAACGGTCAAATCACTGGATTAGGCTGCTCAACCTGCTGGATCTCTTAAGTGTCACATCATACCTACCTAAAGTTGAGAATTTTTTTCTAAATGTGAAAAAATTGCACCACCATTGCCCAATATTCATGTGCCACATCACATAATCACGAACTTATCTCATTACAGGCTCGCTGATAATCAATTTCACAAGGCTGGAATCATTGACGTTCTCATAAACATTGATCCCTTTCCTATTTTATTAACAGGAGCTCCATTTTGTGCAGGAATTGGACAACTACATCTTCTACCATCTAAATTTGGTTTGATAATCACGGGAAAGCTTAGTGGGGAATCTACTGTACAAAGTATCGTTCTCTTTTCTTTGTCTCAATACACAAATGAACAGCAGCTCAAGGCCTGCTAGGAAATTGAGAAGCCCAAACCGGTAGACCTGCAAGATCCCCTTGACAAGTTATGTGAGCAATGTTTTCTCTCCACCCACACAAGAACTAAGGACGGTCACTACATGTTGAGGCTACCACTTCATCCGGATGCTGTTCCACTTGGCCAAAATCGAGTCATCAAACGATTCATGAACTTAGAACAAACACTACTGAAACTCCTTCATATTTCACTATCCATTCGTTTAAGTACCATCACTGCCAATGAATTCAAAACAGCCAAAATGAAATACGTTCATATTGTCCAGAGTCAACACCAACAAACCTTAATTCAGTTAAAACAACTCTCTCCTTTTATTAACAAACTCACACTATCAGTATGGGGGAAAGCTACATTCTCCCGTTGGCATGCTCCCTAAATTCTCTTGCCTCTGCCCTCTAAATCCAATACTCTTGCCAAGAAAGTGCAACTTATCATACCTTAGCATTAGAGACCTACATGAAAGGCACTTAAACACCAATCCCAATTTGACACTATCTCTACTCAGGAATGAGTTTTAGATTTCCAGAGCGAGAAAACTAAACAGGAGTGTCATCCTTAATTGCACTCATTGTCGCATCAGAAATGCTGAACCCATTGTTCCTACTATGGCACCTCTCTCCAAAGAGAGATTTTCTGAACCTAGGCCCTTTCTCCGAGTTGGTCTTGACTATGCAGTCCCTTTCCTAATCAAGAAACCCAATCGTAAAAGGTCTCCGATTACTAAAGCATATCTGTGCCTCTTCATTTGTTAAGTAATTAAGGCATTACCTTTAGAAACTGTCTCTTATATAGTAACTACAACCTTTCATTTAATTTTTTTTAATACTATTTTCAATGAAAAATCATACCTTCCTTTTTGCTCTTCTTGCTTTATGTATTTGCTAAACATAAGTTCATTTTTATTTGTTATTGTTATCACCACCATTTTCTTGGCCATTTTGAAGTCAGATTTTCCTGCATAGTTAATCCCAGGCTTGAGTAACGTTATTTTTTTCATCAGAAATTATATAAACAACTATGAGTTGCTAAAACCAAAGGAAACAGCCTGGTAGAGGAAGTATGGGGAGGAAGAAGAAGAGGCCAAGAAATGAAGCTCAATTTCAAACACCAAGTGAGTCAAAATTCACCTCAATAAAATTTTTCTTCTGAAGCAAATTAACTTCCAACCCTGCAATGCCAATCTACAAAATTGTAATTTCACCATCAGCAATATTTACTAAATTTTCCAAGGTTAACAATTGTATTGAATGCACAAAATTTCATTTTTTTTTTTTTTTTTTTTTTTTTTTTTTTGTATCCACTATATACAATACTATCATTTGTTTAATTTAATTTTGAATTTATACTCATATTTAATTTCAGTAATCCGAAATCCATACAGTCCACACCAATACATTTACCAACCCACTGTTACACACTTAAGGATCAATGGGTAATATTTGGCTCACATCAAATTACCGTGATCATACACTGACACTGATACATGCAACTGTGACGGAAAAACTCCCCAGATATTTCATCATATTCTGTATGACTGCATTGTTTTTGATATTAAACATCATAATTTAATAAGAAGCATAGTTCTCCAAGACAATAACTGGTCACTAAGGGAAAAGGATATTTTCAAAAAATAACATACAACAAGGAGATGAAGAAATTTACCCATCAAGTTAATATACAACTCAAAGATGACTGTAGTGATTAATAATTTTATTGTAGTTATTTTGCTTTTTTTTTGTAAATTATGTTTTTTTTTTTTTTGTTATGGTTTCTTTTCAATTATCTTATGTATTTTTTATTATATTCAATATATTTTTTAAGTGATTCATTAGGAAAAATTAATCTTATAATTTTATGATTATAACTATAATCATGTAATTTATAAGTTTTATAAGAATCGTAATACTTCCTTTAATTGTATTATGTGTAATTCATGGAATATGTAAAATTAACAATACACGGCCTTCATACAGGGTTACTGTAAGAGGAAAGAAAATAAAAAGAAA